ATAATCTACCCACCCCTTGTGATGGGTTTTTAACTTTTTTAACTTCCTATTTGAGTGCCAATCCATCTTTTTGTGCTCGTGAAATTCCCATACTAATATCCTCCAAAAGTTGACTTGAGGCATTATTTTTTATTTCCTTGCTAGGTGTTAGTATATCATACTTTTACTTATTTTCACTAGTTATATTGTACTTGGCTTAATTACTTGTAACAATTCTATTATATATTGGTTACTAATTAATAAATAGGGTAGTGATAACGAAATTTTGCTTCATCGATTAATGTAAATTTTTAATTGTGATAGCGAGTCCCGTTCTCTTAGGGTTCTCGTCTCTCTCGTTGGAGTTCCAATTTTCATTGTAGGATTTTTTCCCTTAGATTAGTGTCTTTGGTGTGTGCTAGGTCGTTTTCCTTGGTCGTTTAGGGTTGTCTTTCCCTCTGTTTTGATTTTATTTGCTTTGTTTGCCTTAATTATTGTTTGCCCTGTGTTTTCTTCTGTTATCTGTTTTTGTGTCTTGCGGCTTGTTTCGTCTTTTGTTGGTGTTTCTCAAGGTCCCTTGTAGTTTGAGAGATGATAGAACTCATGGAAGAAGAAGTGGTAAGTAAGCTGCAGAAATTTGTATTGTCCGACAAAGAAGAAAAAGGGACCACTCTTTCAGACGACGACATTGCAATTGGTGTGTATGAGTGTAAATTAAGTCTCATTGAAAAACTTATTGGGTATAAGAAGGTTAACTTTGGAGGATTTAAGGCGACGATTGGGGGCATTTGGTTAACGAGGAAAACTGTTCTAATCAAGATATTTTAGAAAAACATGACGATAAAGTTCGTCATGTATACCTTATTTTTCGTCACAAAAGTAAATTGATGAAGAAATTTTATCGTCACAGATATCGTCATCGTAGTCGTGTCATAATGGTAGGTGAAAAATTCGAACTTGCCACCAAATGTTTCACTTTTAATGACGTTTATAAGTATTGTCATGTTATTTGGTCATCTTCCATGACGATAATTTCGTCACGTTTATTATGAGAAATTTTTCATGTAAACGATTATTTTGTCATAGAAAGACAAGTTTTAAATGACGAAAACTTAACTTTGTCATCGACGAATTTTATTATTTTATCAAATTTATAAAACTTCTATGAAGAATATCTTTATGGCGTTTTCGTTATAAAAATCGTCATATTTCATAGTATTCGATATGAAAGAGTTATTTTATAACTACAAAATATTGGTTGTCACATAATTTTTTTTTAAATATGACGATAACAAAAACGTCATAAAAAATAGAAATAATGACGAAATATTCAATTGTCTCCAAAAACATACAAAAGCGACGGATTCTTTTGTCAGAAAATTAATAGCTCTATGATTACGAAGAAAAAAATTGTCATCAAAAGCTTGAGATATAATGATAACATAAGTTGTCATAAAAAGATATATATTTAAAAGATATATATTTAGTGACGAAATTTATCGTCATTTTGAAATTTTATATAGTGACAAATACATCACAATAACATGTTGTCGTAAAAAATCATTTTCAATGACAATTTAAAATTTGTCAATATTATAAATATAATAGTTGTCATTAATTGCAGATTTAGTGATAAGTTTATTTGTGATAAAATATATAGTACAGTAACAAAATTTATCGTCACATGAAACAATTATGTCATGAAAATAAAAATACAGTGACAAAATCTTTCATCACGTATATCGTAGCACTAAACACTCATAGCAACATTAACCATATTGAGCTCATTTAATTGATGAAATTATAATTAATATATGATGGTAATATGTTCTAGATGATAAATTAAAGAAAAACAACAATAATAGTATTTTTGCTAATTAAAATACATAAATAACCAATCTCTAAATGTTCCAAACACAAATAATTTTAAAAAAAAAAAAGCCTAATAAGTACTTTTAATAAAAAATATAGCAAATCCCATTGTATCGCATTTCTAAGTTGACATGTCTCCTGAGAGAGTGTCTTGAACATATTAACCTCGAAACACAAGCCTCGAGGCCTTCTCTTTGCTAAATCCAAGTAGGCACATAAAAAAATGCTCGTCTGCATGTCTTAAGCTTTCCAAATCAATGTATGTAGAAGACTAAAGTAATTTGGCACATGACTAAAATGAACTTATTACTTACATGTAACGTTTAAGGTCAGATTTTGTTCCCAGTGGCAACCATGAAAGCCATAAGTTTATCGATACTTGCACCTTTTTTTCTTCACATGACAACATGAACAACTAAGACAACTTTTATTCTCCCAGTAAGAAAAAGATGTGTCAGTAGTTGATAGAAAAAAAATTACTAGTAAAGCAGCACTACCTTGATTTGACGACCTGCAATTTACAGTTGCCCATTTAAATTTTGAGCGAGCTTCGCATCTTCGAGGCGTGCAAACTGCAGACAAACCAATGTGATCTAAGCATTTAGAGGTGGCATAAATTGTTCTTCATGCACCTAAAATAGTCAAATTTACAAACAAAAGTCATCCTCACTATCATATTGAAAGTCATCTATTAGGAAACTCAAGGTCACCTGTATATATGCAAAACCTTTGCAATACGAAGTCCCAGGGTCAGTTGGCATCTGGATCAGCTCAATTGTGCCGAAAGGTTCAAACACCTAAACAAGATGTGGAACACACAAATTTTAGTTACTCTCAAAGGAGATCGAACAAGAAAATGTCATAAAATTGAAAACAAAAACAATTTATGTTAATAGCTTGATCAAGTTATATCAGTGTTATATCATCTATCCGTAAGTATGAGGATGTTCCACTTGGCGAAGTTGATCCTCTTTGATTGTCACTCTTTGATAGTCACTGGATATAATTTAATTTAAAATATAATGTAAAATAAATAAAAACAATTTATTTTAATTTATTTTATTATATTTAAACGATAATGTTAAATAAACGAAAACAATTTTTTTTAATTTATTTTATTCTCATTTTATTTTATATAATTTAATTTATTATAGTTTTATATTTTATTAATTTAATTTAACATAATTTACATTATCTTTTAAATTTAATTTGATTTATTCATTACGTTTATATATATAAAACTCTATTAGATTTATCAACTAACTTGGATTGGTGTGGTGGTGGGAGAGCTATCAAACAACTTTCATTTCCCAGGTTAGAATCCCATGGCCATTGCAAACAAAAGCCAAAGTGCTTTATTAAATTGCTAACTTACAAAGGTGGTGATTAAATCGCAATAACATGAAACGTGTTTTATTAATATGCAATTTTGCCTTTTATAAATGAATATTGGGTAATTAAATATATTAAAATTTGTACAATAAAAAAATATATTTTTATTGTAAAATTATGTATAATGAATATACAACCATAATGATTAACTAAAAAAGTGATAATTATTTCAAAATGATACTCATATTTTTACACTAGTTTTTTTACAAATTATATTTTTAAAAATTATATGTCTAAAATAAAAATTATTTACAAAAACAAGTTTTATTGTATTGTGATTATATTTTATATTTAAAAACAAAATAAAAGTAAAACAATTAGTGGGAAAAGTGATGCAATGGTAAATTTTATATTTTATATTTTATCTTATGTCTATTCTTACTAAACAAATGCAACATCAAAATAATCACCAACACTATTTAAAAGTTAATCTTACACAACAAACAAATGACCAATCTAGGGGTGAGCAAAACCGAGTCAAATCGAAAAACCGAACCGAACCGAGCTATTCGGTGTGGTTTGGTGCGGTTTTTTAAGAGTTTGGTTAACTATGCGGTTTGAGTTTTAGAAAACCACAAAAATTTCGGTGTGGTTCGATTTTCTTTCCAAAGGGTGCGGTTTTAACCGAACCACACCGATTATCCTAAAATGTCACTTTATTTTACACTTTTACTTACATATACAGGTTGCATGCATTGTGACTTTGTGAGTTTATCTCACATGTTTTTCATTTGAACACAACATCACAAAAACATTTACATTTGTATGGTTTGAACACAATTTGTGGTTATCCTTTTTTTAATTTTGGTTAACCGAAAGCCGCATCGAAATCAAAACGGAATTTTCGGTTCGGTTTAGTTTGGTTTTTCCTTCTATTGTTGTGCGGTTCGGTGAAGAAATCTTAGTAGTTTTCGGTTTTCAGTGCTCACCCCTAGACCAATCTAATCACAACATGACAATCTTACCTCTAAAAAATAAATTAATCTATCTCTCAAAATTAAATTAATCTAACCTCATCTAAGAAAGCAAACATGCCCTACAACTAGAACACCAACCACAACACAATTCAGATCACAACTCTTTTAGCCTTCATATCCACTTGAATAGAACAACGCCAACAGTATAGTACAACAATTTTAATTACAAATATAAGATTTCTTAAATCTTACGCAAATACAAGACTTCTGCCTCAACATCATCATTCAAACGTAAGATTTCTTAAATTTTATGCAAATATGAGTTTGACATGTCATACCACATCAATTTGATAAGACATCAACACGTCCTAAACCCACTCAATAACTGTTAAGATTCTCATTTCGATCGCTCGGCTAATTCAATGCTACATGTGGGGTACTGCCCCACATGGTGATAAAATTATATTGTCAACCACTCTGTAAGATTTATTATATAATTTTGTGTTCACACATTTATTGACCAAGACAACAATTGGAATAAAACTTGAATTTACCAATTCATCCTCAAACTAGATTGAATAGAACCTTCAAAAATCAATTATCTACGAAGAACATATAAACTGATGAGTATAGGCATTTGACAATTCAAATATGTGCGTGCTCCATACGACTCATTTATAAAGTGACAATTCTAAAAATTGCTTTTGCCAATTTTTCAAAATTCCCAGTCACATAAGTCGTCAACAATCAAACAACTCCACCCACCCGACTGACTGAAGAGTGAAGATGCAACACATCGCTTATAAAAAACCATCTCTATCAAACTTTAATTTCACCGNCAAAAAAAAAAAAAAAATTACCTCACATGGCAATCACAGCAGGCTACGACCGGATGAAGGAGGTGGAAGAGTTCGACCAATCCAAAGCCGGTGTAAAAGGACTCTCCGATTCCGGCGCCTCCACCATTCCCAGGATCTTCCTCCACCCGCCGGAATCACTCTCCGGCCTCCGCCGCACGGCGGCGGCCCCTTCCCCCCAAATCCCCGTCATAGACCTATCCGGCGCCGTTCTGCCAGACCTCCGCCCCGAAATCGTCCGCCAGATCCGGCACGCAGCGAGCACGTGGGGGTTCTTCCAGATCACCAACCACGGCATACCAATCGCAACCCTCAACGCCACCGTGTCCGCCGTCAGAGCCTTCCACGAGCTCCCGGCGGAGGCGAAGTCTCGATTCTACTCGCGTGAGGAGACGCGCGGGGTCATGTACGCCAGCAACAACGACCTCCACCGCTCGGAGGCCGCCAGCTGGCACGACTCGATCCAGGTGTGGACGGCGCCGGAGGCGGCTCCGGCGATGGATATACCGGAGATCTGCCGGGAGGAGGTGCTGGCATGGGACGCGGTTGTCAAGGGCGCGGCGGACAGGGTGATGGAGCTGCTGGCGCAGGGGTTGGGTCTGGCGGCCGGGAAATTCGAGGAACTGACGTTCGCGGGGGCGAGGGTTGTGGTGGGGCACATTTACCCATTCTGCCCTCAGCCGGATCTGACGCTGGGGATCAAGGCGCACACGGATCCAGGGATTATCACGATTTTGCTTCAGAATGAGGTACAGGGATTGCAGGTTTGGCACGGGGAAGAATGGGTGGATGTGAAACCCGTCCCAGGAGGACTTATTGTTAATATTGGGGATTTTCTTCAGGTAAATATATATACATAGATGAATCGATGCAAAAAATGTAGTTTGGATTTAATATTTTGGTGGCTCCACAACTTTTTCCATTTGAATTTTTTTATATATGGCAAAACATGATGATTTGATGAAATTGATAAAAGAATAAAACGTATTGTACAAAGTTGAAAAAAAAACTATTGGATGAATCTGACAAAAATAAAATAAAAATTAATAAAAAAAATTGCTTAATAAACCTAGTGGACAGGAATGGAATGGTTCCCTATCGGAAGGTTAATAAACACTAATATTTGATTATTTGTAACTTGTGTGCAGATTGTTTCAAACGGAGAGTATAAGAGTGTTAAACATAGAGTGTTGGCGAACGGGAGCAAGGAACCTCGTATCTCGATAGTGACATTCTTCAATTTAGTTAAATGGCGAGAGGACGGTAAATACGGGCCCTTGCCGGAGCTATTAACGTCGGAAAAGCCAGCTGTCTACAGAGATTTCACTATAGAAGAGTTCTGTGAGAACTTCTACAGCAAAGAACTGGACATCAAGTCCTTTGTCCAGAAAACCAAACTGTGATGTGATATCTTTGTCTGTGCAAATGATGATTAATGATGAGCGTGCTAATTTATTATAATAAATAATGACATGCTACCTCTTGAAGAAACATTTCTAGTTTGATGTTGTGTTTGTGTACTGACCATATTGATGAAAAATCATATATGTAAAAGGTGGTGCTATTCGGAATTTCGGATGGTTTGATGAATGTTATGTTTATAAGGATTGGTTATTGTTACCCAATAACATTATTGTTGTAGCAAATTATTTTATTTTTCTTACCGAGTACCGAATCGAAGGATTCGTTCCCCGGGTCGATCTCTCGAGGAAGACGGTTCGGAATTTAGCGTTGGTCTTGATCACACACGAAAAGAAAATATGTCCTAAACACTCTAATCATGATTGATTTGGGAAATCAATTAAAACAAATTAGAACTAGAAAAACAATTTAAAGAAATAACAATTAAATTTCTAGAGAAAAAGAAGAAGTTCTAGGGGTCGGGAAATCTCATCAAGTCTTAAACTATGTTGAACGCTTATTTGTTCGGTTACGAGATTAAACAAGCCTACACGTCTAGAGGGCTATGCTCAATAACTCTTTGTAACAAGAGCACAAACATAAACGATAAATTCATTCAAACAAGCAACACATAGACAATACTTTTACGAACATGTCTACTCTATACGAGCCTAAATCGACCGACGTCTCCCCTCTCGGTTCTAAACGTCGATTAACTAGATTAGAATGGTGATCAATCAACTAACCATATAATTCACACAACACGTATAGATTGAACAAAACACATTCCTCATAATTCAAAACAAGAATCAAAATCCATAACCCTAGGTGAATGGATTACCTCATGCTTAGATTCAATTTCATGTTAACCGGAATTAAGAACATAAAACCAATCAACAATAATAAAATTTAATTGAAAAACTTACAATCGGATTAAGAGTTGCAAGATTTCAATCCAAATATCTTTGTGTCCAACAATCCAAGCATGAGAGAAAAGAAAAAGAAAAGCAGAGAAATTTATCCTAACAATATTGAGTTTTTGGAGAGAAAAATTGAAAGGAACGATATTGGGGGTTGTTCCCACGAGTCTAAGGATCGTTTTCTAGTGCGCGAAAAACGGAGTTAAAACGAGCAAAAATAAAAACAGAGTCGGCTCAGTCGCGAGTCGCGACTTTGCCTTTTCCTCGGTCGCGAGTCGCGACCTCAACTCGCGAGTTGCGACTTCGACACGGAACTGCTCCTTAAGCCTCAGTTTTTCTCGCGAGTCGCGACTTTGGTCTCACGAGTCACGACTTTTCTCTCGCAAGTCGCGACTTTGGACTGCACTGCGCAATTTTACGTTTCGGGCTCGTTTGGGCTGGTCCGAACTCGGAATTGACTTTTGTTTTTTGCTATGTGTCACCAACGAACCCCTCTATTAGAATATGCGCTTGAAACAAACTTTTTCTGAAGAGAAAACTCTCCCGAAGCTCCTGACCTACACACCAAAAACGACAAAACACAAAAGAAAACTGAAAAAACAAACGAAAAACACCTAAAGACTCAAAATAAAGGAAAACACATAATAAAACACGAAATGGACTAAAAACTAAAGAAACGACCTAAAACGGGAGGAAAAGAAAGATAAAATAAACACGAAAAAAGCAACAAGAATGGGACAAACAACTCCCCCACACTTAAACCTTTGTTCGTCCCGAACAAAAAGAAAAGAAAAGAAAAGACACAAACCTAAACCGAGCATGGACAACAGTCATTAACAAGATAGCCTCAACATGTTCAACTTCAACAATGAGCATTCAAATGGCATATAAGAACTTAACACGACTACATGCTTGATCACTATACCTCAACATGGCGTTCTCTCAGTATGGGAATATATATGTGTGCCTCACTCGAATTCTTATACAGATAAAGATAGGTGCACTCAAATTGGTCGATAACAAGTTCAATCATATGTTTGCCCATTGTCTAACTTCTACTCTAAACCAATCAAAATCGAAACTAGTGCATCAAAAGGTCTTTCAAGGTTGTAGCGTAGGCTCTTTGGTTAGGTAGGATAAATATAGGCTAAGTGGCTCGAATTCATTACATAACTTAAACACTTTACCCCAAGAATGATACACTCAACTGGTTGCACAAACATTCCGGATCTTCCCCCACACTTTTTCTAAAACCACATGTTTCACCCATCTTATTTCATTTTTTTTTTCTTTTTTTTTTTTGGTGCGACCCTTTCATTTTTTCCTTTTTTTTTTTTTTTGAAAATATAAACAAACTCCACAATTATCTCCTCTCATTCTCAACCCGAGACTCAACAATGTCATCATCATGAGGTTATATATATAAAAAAAATTAGGCTCAAAAGGGCAACTAGGGATTAACTGCAGAAAAAACAAGGATAAAAGATACAAAAAATGCCTTAATCATATTCACAGTTCATAACTCAAATTGATTCATTTCGATGCAGACTCAGAGCAAGTTCTAATCAAACAAGAGCACGACCAATGTATCTCAAGAAAGAAGTAAGGCTCAAACCTCACTAGGTAGATATATGAATATCCATCAAAGTAATCGACCAAGCATTTCATCACGCTATGCCTCATATAACCGACATCACAACTCATCGAATTCATCAAACAAGTCTTAACTAATCTTGAAATTTTCAAAGTCCATACTCATAAAAACACACAAAACCTATACTAGACCGGTCCACCACATAAGCATGCAAAATCCACGTAAATTCCCCCACACTTAAAATGAGGCAATGTCCTCATTGCTTTAACTCAAAACAGGAAGTCAAATACAAGGACAAAACAATTTCACATAATGAACCAAACTAGCAGCTATCACAAGACACAAACTCAAAGGAAAAGACAAGAGAAAGAACAACTCAAAAAGGATAAAAGGAAAAGGGTGTGCAAACTGAAGATGCCTCGAGGAGGATAAGCATCCACGTGCAAGCCGCTCGCTTATGCTCAGCCCAAAACTGCGACACGTCCTGCCAAGAAAAACACAAAACTCAAAAACTCACATTATTCAAAGATAAAACTAAAAAAACAAAAAGAAAATAACTAAGAAAACGATAAATCACTTGGCTTGGCTCCCAAAAAGCGTTTGTTTAACGTCATTAGCTTGACGAAACATGTACAAATCAACCAGGATCCAAAAAGAAGTGATGATCATGCCATGCCTTCGTATTCTCCAATAATAGTCTCGATGGTAGTTCAGAACAAAAGCGGGCAAAAAGTAAAACCCCCGTGGCCACGTTCTTATGATGCAGAGCACGGACATCAACAACTACCAAGGGGAGAGATAAAGCATTACGAATCCAAGCCCCATAGTCGACCTCCAGAAATATGAACATATCCGTGGAGCATGTCGAATCGATCCCGGCCTTCACTAATGTCATCTCGGATGTGTACTCTTCAACTTCAAGTGTCGGGAGCATGTGCGTAAACGCACTCGACTCCTCTAAATGCTCACAATCCTCAACATCATGCGATGACGACCCAAAGGACATGGGAGCCACCTCATACTCAACATCTCGAGCCGAGTCACCTATCAATGCACAATTTGGTTCAATAACCTCATATGATGACTCGACCTCTTCATCAACCTTATCCTCGTAACAATGGACTACCTTCTCCTCCTCCTCCTCATAAGTGTCCTCCCGAGCTCCTTCAATAACACTCGGCACAATCAAATCCTCTCCTGAATTATCCCCTATGCCATGCACCGTGTCGGCCTCCGAGTACATACACTCAATCTCATTGAAGGATGCAATCATATCCACCAATGTTCGAAATTTGCCTTCCAACCATGAGCTTTCTCGACAAACCTCCGCCGATAGAGAAGCATATCTACCAAGCGGGATGTGAGATGTGTCCAAGTCGAGGAAGGTAACTACGGTTGAGTCGAATTCCGTTAGTTGATTTTGGAGACCGGATGGAACGGGAATGATCCCCCAATTGTTAAACTCCTCTACAACCGACAGGAGGTTCGCGAGCATGTCTCGAGTATTTGCCAAAACCTCTTGGTGATCGTCGGTAGGAACAACCCTTGTTTGACTTGAAGTCTCGGTTCTCAATGCACAAGGTCGGCCAACCGATTGGTTCTCGAAGATAGGAGGTGGTAAAGTGTAAGACTCGGCGTCTTCGTTTTTGGATGGGGACACCTTTGAAGTACAAATGGATAGAAAGGATTGATTTAACTTCTCTATTTTCTCAAAAATCTTGTCTATACGGCTCGGAGAAGCTACTTGAGTTGGCTCGGGTGGAGGTATTGAATCGAAATATGTGGGAGGCGGCGGGTAGTAGTCGTAGGAAGATGGCGGTTAGTAATAAGGCGACTCGTATTGATTCGGAGCATAATAACAATATCCACCTTGAGACGTCGGGTAGGAATGGCTCGGGCCATACCCTTGGGATGTGGTGTATCCGTCATGGTAATAATGATCTGAATGGCTCGGGTACGGATTGGGCGGCCCTCCATACGAATACATCTCCCCTTGATAATTGTTGGGGTATCCACAAGACAAATTTTCGGCATAGGAATAATCTATGGATTCATCGGAATTCCTCAAGCAAATACCTTGCACAAGAACAAAAACAAAACAACCAAAGGCACACGAGGCAAAAACAAAAACAAACTAACACGGAACGATATTCACAACAACACAAACATCAAAAGCAAGAGAAATATCAAATAAACAAATAATCAAGAGAAACACAAAAATTAAGAAAATATTACAAGATTAAGAGAAACACGAAAAATAAAACCAATACCAAAATCCAACTTGCCTTCCCCGGCAACGACGCCAATTTTGTTGTTAGTATTTTTACCGGAGTAGAATCGAAAGATTCGTCACCGGGTCGTATCGCAAGGAAGGTTAGCCGGATATGCTTGTGCATTTATTCAATCACGAAAAAGAGAAAACAAATTCCTAAACGTTCTAGTTCAATATTTTAAGGTTTCAATTATCAACTACTGATTTAAACTAAATAAAATGAAAGCAAAATAGCAAATGAATTTACTGAATGATTAAAGTGCTAGGGAATCGGGGATAATTGCTTTCGGTTCTAACACAATCACCGACAATCGATTGCTCGGTTAAAGGTCTTGAATCGTTTCTCGTTCAGAGGTTCACTCTCAATAACTCTTTGTAACAAGAGAGTGAATGTAAACGATCAACTACCAATTCCAACAACACATAGATAATACGTTTCCGAACAAATCTATTCTAAACGAGCCTAATTTGACCAACGTCTCCCCTCTCGGTTCTACACGTTGATTATCTAGGTTAGAAAGGTGATCAGTCTACTAACCCTATAATTCACACAACTCGAATAGACATGAACAATCAAAAGCACTCAATTATAACGAACCTAATCAATCATCCCCTATCCCTAGCGAATGGATTTAGCTACTCATAACGAATTTAACATCAACATTCAAATAAACCCAAGTCATCATCATCAACAAAGCAACTGAGAAAAAGAACTTACGATTAATATTCGGAATCCAATGTCAAATCCAAGTGCATCCAAACCCAAAGCAAGAAATAGGAGTTTTTCAATCTCCAAAACAAATCAAAAGTGCAAAAAGATGAAAAGGAATGAGTTTCTCTAGAGAAAGAACGTAAAAGAAAAGTCTGAAAGTTGAATAATAAACCCTAGGATCGAAATCAGCTCTAAAAATCCCGTCCTCGAAATTCGCGCCGGTTAAGTCGCGAGTCGCGAGATCGTCTTCTTCTTGGTCGCGAGTCGCGACATCCTCGCGAGTCGCGCGTCTTCAAAATGTTGAACTTTTGGGGCTGGTCGTGACATAACTCGCGAGTCGCGACTCTATCTCGCGAGTCGCGACTCATTCTTTGGAAATCCTCTTAAGCCCCAGTTTTTTACGCGAGCCGCGACATGTTCGCGAGTCGCGAGAAATTTTGGGCACGTGTTTCTGTCCGTTTTTCAGTCCTCTTCGTCGTCTTCTGGGCTCGGCCATGGGAATTCTCGATTTCGCGGTCTCGGCTCACGCAATCCTAACCTCGACCGGCACAACCTACCTCCTGAAAACAAAAACACGGAAAACACGAAGCAAAACACGGCAAAAAGACACAAAAATATAAACTAAGGAAAAAAACATAAAACGAACAAAATGGACCAAATAAACAACGAAAAACCTACAAATGGGGGAAAACAAAAAGAAAATAAACATGAAATAATGACACAAAAATGGGACAAACAACTATCAACCATGGAATTTACTTCGAGTGTGTATCCAATTCTCAAAATTTATAGTGTAACCCAGTAACACTATAAAAGAACGAATAACAATGCAAAAAAATGAAAAATGGTTATAAAAAATAAAATAAAATTTATATGTGCCAACTCGTGCATTTTTCATTTTTCACGAGCCACCAGATGCCTTAGCCATCTCCACCAGGTTTTCCTCCTTTGATGTGCATCCCGAAACCTCCACTGGCGCGTCCGTTTAAGGCGTTGTCTCGTCTGTACCCAAGCGACTTTCCGTGGACATTTTGGTTGTCGAGCGGCCTTTACTCGCGCATCCATGCACGATTGTTTGGCTCTCCGTTCAGCCTTGCGCACTCGTATACGAGCTCGTGTTCGTCTCCTAGGCTATGCTTGCGTCCTTTTATGACTTTTGCACGCTCTCATGCGATCGTCTCTCTTCTCGACTCTTGGCGTTTGTGAGCGTCAGAACCTTCATTCTTATCACGCCTGCAGACACCGCAGACGCCCGTCCTAGAGACCCGTGCCGTCCCAGGAAATCCCAGGAGCAGTGCCTGCATGACTCCGTGCCTCAGCGCCCACGCCCCAGCGCTCGTAGACGCCCGCAACGACGACCCCCAGCGACTGCGAGCTCCCCAACGATAGACCATCTCCCAGCGTCCTCGTGCGCGCCCGTGCGTCCCGTACAGACCAGTCCCTTACGCGACCGTGCGCCTAGGAGACCAGCAGCGTGCCAACGTCCTTCCAGTAGTTAAACCCCGTCCGCAGTAGTAATTCCCAGTAGCCAACAGCGTCCAGAAGACTTAGGTCTCCCTGTGCGTAGCACCTAGTAGTCGGTGCCCAGCCGCACCCAATAGACCTAGGTCCATCTGACAGCAGTATGGGTTGAGCCTTAACCGAGCTAAAAATCAGATTTTTGGGCCTTAGAGTAAATTTTATTCGAGAACTCTAGTAAAGCTTAAGAAGTAAGAAAGAGCAAGAGAAGAAGCAAGAAGAGAAGCTAATTAAATTAATTAAAAGTTCAATTTTAAGAAAATGTATTAAGTAATTTAATTAACCAACAAAATCAAGATTTTATCTCAATAATTGTTTAAATAAAATTATACTATTAAATAAATTCTTAAACTTGTAGATTAAGAGGAGGCGAGCTCTCAAGAAGAATCCGAGCATTCATTCATCATCATCCGCATAAGGTGGAGATTTTGTACTACACTTTAATTCCCTATAAGCGCGTGATATTATGGTTGAGGTATGTATGTGAGTACTTGCCTTAGCGAGGCATCAGTTACAACAGATCTCCCGGTGTGAGTTTGGCCATCTTTCCCATTCTCACTGCGGTAAATGTGCGTACACATGACATATACTCAGTGGGGATGGTGCAACATCTCCTCCACCCGACGAGTACAACAACAACAACAATTGAGACTAATTTATTCATGTTCATGCTAATATTATGGTATCTGTTATTATGCGAATAATTGCGCAGTATGTCTCCCTATTGAGCTAGTTGTGTTGCTCACCCATTATTTTTCTTTCAGGTTGATCGAGTTGGTGCCGGACACGATTGGCGAGAGTGGTCATTTTCATGTTATTCAGTTTCATGCTTCCGCTAAGACTCTTAAGATTCATGCTTTTGAGTTTGACTATTATAACTTGTTTTGAAACATTGTTTGAGAACCTTTTTAGTTGTTTTTTAATTTTTAAAATATGCATGAATGAGTATGTTTTTAAACAGCTAAGAAAACGGTTAAGAAGTAAAGTTAGCAGTAAGCAGTAAGCAGTAAGAATAACAATTAGCAGTTAAGCAGCAAAGACAACAACTAAGAAGTTAAGACAACGATTGGGATCAATATTCCCATAAGAACTCAAGTTAGCGGCTTAAGTTAAGATTCAAAAGAAGTAAAGTAGTTTTAGTAAATTTAGAAGAAGAAATAGTTTTAAGTAAGTGTCGTATGAAAAGTTTTAAAAGTTAATTTGTTTGGAAAAAGTTCGAAATTACTTATGAAAGTTCAGTACTTTTCCAAAGATGAGTAGAGGCCAGGGGCCTTACAAGTTCGTATCAGAGCCAGCCAGTGGTTCTGTATACTTGAAAATTTTTAAAAGATGGAAATGCCTTTTATTTTCCTCTTAATTCTTAATGGTGTGATTGGTTATAAACTCAAAANATAATATTTAATTGAAACAAATTTCCACTAACAACTAACCATACCACTTTTTTTAAAATTAAATATAATAAAAAACTAATCAAATTCATATCTAATCCCATCATAAACAGTAGAGTTTTTTTTTTTTTTCAAATATCAAATTTCATTACCATACCTCGGAAGTACAAACCGATAATCAACCGATTAAACTTGATATCTCTTACTAGCCTAAACTAGAAAGAGAACCAAACGAGAGAAAGCACAACAAGTGTTCACCTACACGACCACATCAGTTCAAATGGCCAAAATCAACAAAAAACACCCACATCTAAGATACTATAAAACTACACAAGGGAGATGAACTACTCCACGAAGAGAGACGACAAAAAAGCACTCCAAAAGGAGAGAAAAGAAACAAAACACATTACCACACTAACAAGCACACAAAACAAAATAAAACACTTAACAACTAGAATAAGGCCCTCTCCACCAACGGCCAACACTCGCCTAGAGCCTTCAAGCAAGCCAACACCCAAAATGACTACCCAAACAGGATTCAAATCCAACCCAAAACCCAGAAACACCATCACCGGCTATTGAGTCCCAAGCCGAAGATGAAACTCGAATCGAGAGGCCACCCTTGGACTGGTACCAGCGAAGCCGAGCCCACATCCCCAGGCCAGTCGACGACCACTGCCGACCATACAGACGCGTCGCCGCCCCCCTGTGAGCCCAACCCTAGAGTCGAGCAGGGAAGAAAGAGAAAAGCAACAGAGGCAGCCACGGACTCCAACCACCACCAACTGGCCGAAGCCCACTTCAGCTGCACCCGCCATGGCCCGTAGAGTGGAGACCCACGTGAGAACTTGACCAGCGACCCTCGAAGAGGCGGCCCACGCTGGTACCGCCACTGGCCTTGACACCCATCTCAGGAAGGCGAGCCACCGCAAGTTGAAAGTCACACCAAATGCGATTTTTAAGTTGCGAACAAGAGAGAATTAGAAAAGGTTTTAGAGAGAGAAAGAGTT